AGGGAAAGGCAGCCAGATGCCACTGCAGGAGGGACCAGGGCTTGAGGCAACAGTGGTAGGTGAGGGAGGAAAGATCATCCCTTCCAAAGCCACGACTGCCCTGCTCCTCCATATGCGCCCAAGCTCAGCTCCAGCTCCCCACCAGCAGCCATCCCTTCATCCTCCAGCAGCAGAATTCACTTTTCCTGTGCCACCACGAAGCCTAAAGCCCCCCCTTGACCTTCCAGGGCTGGAAAACTGCCCCCTCCCCTCTGTCTGATCAGCTTTTATTCCCTGGTCACTGGAATTCGGGTGCAAGAGCAGTCGGCAGGATGCTGGGTTTATCTATAGCTGATAATTTGTCTTCCCCACCAAAGCCAAGTCCTTTTTCACTACAAGACACATCAATAGAGTGTGTCATTCAGGGACAAATGGGCCAGGCAGGATTTGGTTTCAAAACCTGACTGTAGCCTCAGAGTAGCAATTACCATTAGTAAATTGATGGGAAAATGCGAGTTGTTTACTAACAAGAGCCAGATGATGGAGCGTGTGAGCCTCCTCTCCAGGATTCTTTACACCAGGAATTTGCTCAGGGAAGGAAAAATACTTTGTTCCTCTCAAAGTCTTTCAATCAGACATTCAAAGTGCTTTGTGAGGATTATTTAAACTTCAGAATGCTCTGGGGAAGTAGGTAAAAGACACATAGAAAAATCACTTTAACATGGAGACAAATTCACATCTGCAGCAAAACGTGGCCTCTGCTTGGCACACTGGGCAGTGGTTTGAGGAAAAAAATACAGTTTTCCATGAATTAAAGCATGATTAAGCAGTATCCAAGCTAACAAACCCCCCATGCAATGCTATGGAAGCATGAATGTTGATTTCTATCAGTGCTCTGAGGGAAAAGAAGCATCGCCCAGTGACAGCAAACCCACCTCTGTCCCAACCAAGTACTTTGAAGCCTGCTGGAAAGGATTCCTGCATCCCAACGGAGCTGCAGCACAGGCTGAATTGGTCAGTGCTGCCCTGCTGATGTGGGGCACCTCAGCACGGCCTCAGGACCACTGGAGAGCATCCATCCTCCCCAGGCAGGCAGAGCTAGCGCTGCCCTGGCTTCAAACAGCACCTGAGGAATGGGGGGGTTGAACCAGCCCCATGAGTGGGGAGCAGAGCAGGCAACTGAGCCCCGTTTTCCTCACTGAACTACCCAGGAAAACCTCTTCTCTCCATGCCCCAAGAAGGAAAAAGGCTCCTGGAGTCTCTATTTTAATAGGAGATCCCAGGATAAGAAGATTCGGAGCGAAGGCCTCCATCATCCATCACCATATGCTGCACTCTCCAGAGGTCAGTCAGAGCCACAGCAGACAGCAAGTGCTGGAAAGGACAAATCCACACTGTTCACCCTGTGCCAGCAGCAACTGATGGGACTTCAACACTTGTTATGTGGCAGATGGTGCTCTGGCAACGCCAAACCCAGTGCTGCAAATCCCAGTTCTGCTCTTCCACTGGAATACTCAAGAGCTGCGTTTTGCACCAGCACCACTCTGAAAGGTCCCAGGAGATGTGCTGGAGCCTCAGCCAGGGATCCTCTGGAGAGCAGGAGCCTGCCCTGGGCAAGCTCCAGACAGCACCAGGAGGAGATCTACCCATTTCCACAAACATAGGGTCTGTTTATCCCCACCTTTCCCCTACCAAAAGCCACAGGGCTCCAGGGGCTGTTCCCGGTTGAAGAACCACCACTCGTATGAACTCGAGTGTTCATTTAGCAAACAGATCCAAGAGTCACCTCTCCAGGAAGTCACTGGGATCCCAATCAGCACCTTACAACCGTTTCTATGGTTTCCAGAGCATCACACAACGCTGCTGTGCTCATCTCGCTCTTCTTGCGAGATGGCTTCTCCCTTCCAGAACCATCCCAACGTTCCCCCCGCACGCATCCAGCCAGGGCACGGAGAACACGCAGGGAACCCACCCCCAGGAGCTGCAGCTCCTCTGGCAATGCCATGACAACAGCAGAGCTTCCCCAGGAACCATCACCAGGGCTGCTGAATTCCAGAGCTCCCGACAGCAAACTCAGACACCAAGAGTGAGCCTCCGGGACCCCGCTCTTCAACGAGTCCTCCCCTCTATGGTTTTCTAGTCCAAAACGGAGCTGTTGGACTAAGCCCCCCCACATTTGGCTTTGCTTAAACCAGCCCCAGTCCCACCCCAATCCCAAGTGAGTCGGTTTAAACGCTGGCTGGGGACCACCAGGACAGCCAAGAGCCAGAAAGGCTCCAAAGTGGTGTT